GCTGTTTGTCGATGACGTGCTCAACCCAGCTCAAGGCCATACGCGACAGGGAGAAGGAGAGGCTCAAGAAAGCGGCAGAAAAAGAAAATAAAAAACAGCATCGGCCGCGGTAGGAGGTGGAGAAGGAGGAGCGACAAGAGAAAGAGGAGCTAGAGAAGCAGCAGCAGCAGGAGCAGGAGGAGTTGAACTTGAGGCGGAGGACCCGGCGGTGGCGTGGACTGACCGCGGCATTCCTGCCTTTGCGGGAACGGCGGACCACAAGAAAAGAAACCAGCGGTCGACGGTCAGCGCTGCTTCGCTGTCGGCGTCCGCGTGCTCGATTTTGCCCTCTCTCGATACCTTCATGGACAGCCTCAACGAGAACGGAGAGCTCCCGCTGAGTGGTTTGATGAAGACGTGCTTCAACATGATGTTCCCCGAGAAGGCAGTTGATCTTTTCGTGCAAAAGGTGAGCATTGATGATTTCATGTAGTCGCATCCTTATTTGGTGATATTCGAACAATTCATTGGGGGGGTTGCACGCAAGTAAGAAACCGAGCCGTTATGCGTCGGACTTGAAAGTAGTTCAGCGGGGAGGGGGGGGGGCGGGGGGGGATGGGGGGATGAATTGTTTGCCCTTTGTTTGTGTTCACACTGCATGATGTGGTCTGCATGCCTTGGTCGCCTCATCATACTGCCCGAATGTAAATCAAATCTTATCAAGAGTGTCAAACACACGGGGGTATATGCGGTGTTCATGCATACTTCGCTCCTGACGTGCTACGTACCAGCGTATCGTGCATGGGGTGGTTTGCAAGGGCGGATGCAAGCTCGCGGAATGTACTCCCTGCAGAAAAGCACCCTCCCCCCCCTCTCCAGCACGGGGGACCCCTGTTATGTATGTTGGAAGTTGATTATCGATATCCACCCAACCAACCCAACAATTGAAAGCGGGTACTAGGTAGGTCCCTGAGAACACAGTCTGTTGTGGGCCCTTGCGCTATTGCTTACGTTCCAAGACATCCGCGGAAGCCTAGGTGAGAATCGAACAAGTCCGTGCTGCCACGGCTTGCATCAGCACTAATATACGACACCTGGGCGCGACCTCTAGGGCGAATACTATGCTAATGTTTGCTTCGTCTTGTTGTCCCTGACCTCTTCCGCGCGAAACGTGATACTTTTCCAGACCAACAAGTACGTGAACCTTTGCACCACACCACCACCCCCCGGAGGTACGGACAAGCGCAAGGAGCATCAGATGAAGAAGTCGAGAACTCTCGGCAGGGTCACCCTGCCGGAACCCGCATTCGAGCGCACGCACATCTACGGCATGCTTAACATCACGATCCAATGGGGCTCACGAAGAAAACGCGCATGAGGAAGCACTGGAGTAGATCGTTGCACGACTATCCTCTAGTTAGGGCGTTCATATCGCGCGACTTGTTCGAGATGTTGTACTGCCGTTTCATCCACTGCTCGGACGGCAACGCTCCTCCTCGATTGTTGGACGAGGACAACACCCCGAACCCAGACTTCGATTCGAAGTGGCACATCGGGTGAGTTTTACCAGTCGGAGACTTCAGGCGTTCTGACTGTTGGACCACGCTTCCCCTTATTTCACGTCGTGAAAAAAAACGGCCTCCAAGCCGGCGAGTACCCTAGAATCCAACTCCAAAAGAGTTCATGTCGTTGAACAAGTAGATGTCGTTGCCCTACACCACCCGCCCTCCCCGTGGGATACTACACGTGACCACCAACGTACGGTTGGGATGGTCATTGCTACGGATTAGCCTGGTTGGTGTGTATTCAATAGGTGGGCATTCGTATGTCCATTCGTGTCCCACGAATGTTCTACAACAGATGAACCAACGCCACACCTCCGTGCAAATCTTGACGTCGCTTCACCGGCAGAGAGCTCGAAGACATCTTGAACACCGCGTGGACGGAAAACATGGACTTCAACCAGTGGCTTTGCTACGACGAGCAGATGGTGAAGACTGTGTCGAGGTACGCGCACTTCCTCATAAGACACCAGCCCAAGAAGCCCATCACCCACGGTACGCGGTTTGTGTTTCGTGTTGTGTGGACGGTTCCTGCCGAATGTGTGTTTTCCTTGTGACGGCCTTACGGTGTGAGGGCTCGGCGGTTGGGGATATTGGCGAAGACCTTGTATAGTATTCGGTTTTCAGGGGCCACCATGTGGTTGGCGTTGTCATTTTTTTTGTGGAGTTGAGCCCCCCCCCCCTCCCTCTCCGTTGCGTGGAAAAATAGTAGCAGGAACATTTGGCGTTTAGGTCACATGAAGAAATCACGCCCGTGGGCCTAATTCAAAGCTCGATTGCTACACAACACAGAGCTAGGCGGTGCCGAAAATGGCGGCGCTGGAACCGTCAATGACTGTACACTAGTTTGAAGACATCCTCGAATAGAGTGCAAACGCCCACCCCGGGCACGATTGACTGATGCGCCGACTTGTTNCGGCGCTGGAACCGTCAATGACTGTACACTAGTTTGAAGACATCCTCGAATAGAGTGCAAACGCCCACCCCGGGCACGATTGACTGATGCGCCGACTTGTTAATTCGCTCCACCCTTGTTCCGTATTCACGTTGTTCAAAAGGCAGGCATGAAGATGCTCGCGATCTGCGACGTCGAGGGATATTGTTTCGTCAGCAGCGTCGACGGTGGATTTTCGGGGGATCCCAAGCTAAGGGCCTGGTCTGACTGCCCTCTGGGCCTCTGGGACGGACCACTCGGCACGTTCTACATGTCCTGCTCGGCGCCTACAAGGAGTTCAGTGAAAAGATCGACGGTTCTGGCGTGCACATCGCAATGAACAAATACTTCACAAGCCCGACACTGTTCGAGTGTCTTGCGAGCCACGACATCTTCGCGGTGGGTACGTACCGGGTGAAGCGAACCGCTGGCGCGATCCCTTTCTTGCAGAGCCTCGATCGCATCCCCGTCAAGCGGGGAGACATG